GATTGGACCTCGGTATCACCCTTGTCAACCTCGGTGGCTACCACTGTTTCCAGGTTCACTACCGAGACAGATTTCTCGCCCTCGTGCCGACGCTTGTGGGAGGATTCGCCAACACCCCTAGACACAGTCACAGGCCTCTCGGTCTCCACACCCTTCTCGGTCACCGATTCACCGACCCCAGCAACTTGGGAAGCTTTCTGTTGCTTCTAGAGCTTGGCCAATTCCCGATTGCTCATACTCGCCATCTTATCTGCACAGTAATCAAATAAGAATTACGTTCTAGCGTAAAAATAAAGCATCACAATAACATACAAAGGGTGATCGGCGAGGGACCGATTACCTATATATATTTTCAATTCATGGGGCCTATTTTCTAAATCTAAGATTTTGGCGGTGTTGAAAACCGTTTTCAATTCCTCAAGTTTCCTAACATCCTCTTGATCATTCTCAGGAACCTTCTCGGGACTTAACCCAGCATAGGGGTTAGTTTTCTCGTTCCAGTACAAGGGATACCCTTTAAATAAGTCCTCGTTGCCAGGCGTACAACGAACTCGAAAATAAGATTTCTTGAAGTCCTTATAGGACGATTGAAAAAGGGTCAAAATTCCCCGACCTGATACCCCATGGACGGACACCCAACCACTGCGTTTATTGACATGACTTTCGAAGAAATAAAAAAACTTCTCTGTAGTCGGTATTATACCGAGACCCCCACATAAAACTTCAAAAGCTCGGACAAATGCCCAACTATTGGGGTGCAATTGAGTAGGTGCCACATTCAAGGCGCTCAGGACCCCCTTTTGGAAATCAGAAAGTGGCCACCTAACCCTAAGTTTAGAAATTAAAGTTGCATAGCAAAATGTAAAAGTTTCAGTAGCATCACCCCTAACACACACAGGTTCCCCGTCCACACAAGGCTCACAAACAAGCACATTATCCTCAATGCACACCACATGCTCCCTACCAAAACTATCCATTTCGGCCCACGAATTCATTAAAGATGTGCAACGAAGCACATCACCTTTAACCCACTTATACATATCCCCATAACTTATGGCCTCCATGGCATAAGCAGATTTGGACTTAAAAGGGGAACTAAGGGCTCTCTATAAACAAGAAAGGCCAAAGGGGGTTAGATAGGCGTACCTAAAGACACAAAAACAACTCCTTTTCACTTAACAAAGGCCACCAAAACGCCGTACACCACTGCGCACCACCGCAGTTCAAAGCGAAGCAGAGGATCTCACCGGAGAAGAGAGTGCAAACAGAAAGAAAGGCAAATGAGTTAAAAAAAATGAAGGTCACCCCTATTTATAAGAGACCAACGATCGCGTGTGGGGGGGAGAACCCAAGGGTCACAGCGCGCGTGGAACGTTGCGACCCTAAGCCCAAGAGACCAAAGGGGGGGTCCCACACCATTAACTTGAACAATACGTTCCGCCACGTGGCACAATCATTACTCACACCTCTGCGACGCCGGCCTTGCAATAAATGCATGTCCTTTCTCGAGTAAGGTGAAAAGACACCTCTTTTAGGGTTCCGGGAAACCACGGTCCCACGTGACGACTTGATTCTCGGCGTTCTCCCGACACCTATTCTCGGCCCATGGCCGTGGAGGCTGTACCGTCTAGATCAAAATCCGACTTGACCTTCTGCTCGGACAATACCCGACCAGGTTACCCGGCTACAAGCCTTCTCGCCTTACAAGCTCAAGGCTGGAAGGCAAGTGTACCGTCCAGGTCGAACTCCGAGTTGACCTTCAGCTCGGACAATACCCGACCAGGCTTCCCGGTTACAAGCCTTCTCGCCTTACAGGCTCAAGGCTGGAAGGCAAGTGTACTGTCCAGGTCAAAATCCGATTAGGCTTTCTTCTCGGGTATTCCCGACTAGTGTATCAGGCCACAAGCCCTCTCGCCTTCTCGACTCAGGGCTAGAAGGCAAGTGTGCCGTCCAGGTCGAAATCCGACCTCCACCTCTATTCGGCAGTAGGGCGACCATGCCTACTCGGCACTAACCCGATCGAGAGCTCAGCACAGACCTAGTCGGTCATGACTCGACTCGACCTGGGGAACTCGACTCCTCTCGCCTATAATGACTAAGGAGGCTACTCGGCATTAACCCGACTGGGTCCTCGGCGCAGACCCAGTTGGTCAGAACCCGACTAGACTTATCCCCTTTTACCCCGCACCATCAAGATAAGAACGGTTAGGGAAATTCCGTCATTCTCGGGGCCAAGAGGCCCGTGAACGACGTACCATAAAACCCAAAACCCTAGAGTTGAGAAGACAGATTACACTTTTGAATGTTCTGGCTTTGAAGCACGATCTAGGAAAAAATTCTAGTCCACCTTTTGGCCGGAACATATTTAAAACATCTAAAATAGAATGAGAGTATTAAAAATAATTATTTAGTTGTCTGTTTCAATCCTCCTCTTCCCTTTGCGTTAGAACAACATTAACTTTACATGAATGCAAAAAGAAAGCAGTGTCAATGTGTCGAGATTCTCTCCAAACGCGGAATCGGTCACACTTTTTCTGTTGTCATACCGAAATGGATTCTCGCGATCCAAATTTTTATCTGGATTTTTTCCAAGAAAATTTTCATGGTCAAAAACTCTTTTTTTTTTTTATAATTTTTTTTTAGTATTACTATTAGTTAAATTCTTTCTCTATTATTAAGGTGCAAATTTTAGTAAATAGAAATGTCGCACAAGAAAATCTAGATCCGTGAGAAAGATTAAAATCTCTCAATTCAGCTGTTTACTTTTTTTATATATATATTTTTTATTTTTTATAGATAAAATCTATCCACCAAAAAAGATATATATTTGAAATTACATTATAAATTTGTAAATAATTTTTTTTTAGAAAATAAACTATTTTCATGAAGTTAGAAATTTAAAATTTAAAATTATTTCACAATAACTTTCATTTTTAGACTAATTTACTACATAAAATTGATTTTTTTAGTTGTATCTAAATGAAATTAAATATCTTAAAATCATTTTTCAACCAACTTATTCAAATAACATTTTATTTTAATTATAATCAATTATAATAATAATTGGTTAATTATTTTTATAAATTAATTGATTATTAAAATAATCACTCATGATAGGAATTAGCCTGATTTAAAAAAAATCAACATTTAAATTTTTTTCTTTTTATATAAAAATTAAACATGGAGACACTGACAGTGTGATCAATCCCTCCCAGGATATATCCTTAATTAGCTCTGAACATGTGATCTTTGTCTTACCCAAATTTGCAAGAATATATCGATCTTTAATTATATCCCTGACAACTAGGCCACCCATGAAAGTAATTAACATTATTAGTCTTGGGAGAACCAGAAGTATAGTGGTTAATTTTTGGTGAATACCCAATTCTAATCCTTGAAAAAAAAATTAGGAACTTTTATCTCTATATAACTGACTATTTTTTAGTCCTTCAAGAATAAATATATTCAATGAATTGAAGGACTAAAATGTCTCGCATTAATAATCTTAAAGGATTATTTGATAATTTTTCTTTAAGAACTAAACCAGGTTGAATAGTTTTTTTAAGAATTTAATTAAGTATTTCTTCGTAAAGTTTGTAAAGACATAAGATACCAACCTGTGTGACGAAGGAAAACTAAAATTAGAATAAAAAAAATGCAGATCAATTAATGAAAATGGGGTTTGCTATAGTAACTAATCATCTCCACTAATAGCACTATTTATGGGCCTGAAAGGTAACCCTCTTTCTGCAACATTTTGTCGTTACTATTGTGCTTTTTTTTTGTTTTTGTTTTTTTTTTTTAAAACAAAGAATGAGAAAGAAAGGAAAGAGGAGAGACAAAAAAAGCATCAGTTCCACCCTTTGGTACGTTTTTTAAAAGGGAAAGATGGAATAAATAAATAAAATATCCAAAGGTATATATAATTAATCCAGTTTTTAATGGAATGAAGAGGAAAAATCTTCTTTGTGTAATAAAAACACAAAATTATCTTTTATTTTATTTTTACTTTTCTTTTATTTTTTACTAGCTAGCATAAAAAATTTACTATGTGTCTCCATATAAAAGTGAGCAATTAATAATAAAAGAATTTGAGCTGTGAGCCATTTTTAGATAGTTGTAATTGTAAGAGTGGTTTTTAGTTTTGAAGAAGTAAAAAAGGAGAAAGAATAAAAACTAAATAATAAAAAAATGATAGAAAGAGTGGTTAGAGACATAGTTATAAGCATAAAATTGTTTAAAAAATATGTACATGAAATGAGTTGTTATTCTCTTTATCATTAGTATAGATACAATTAAATAAGAAAAAAAAATATCTTTCTTCTAAAATAATCTAACAACCATTTTATTCCTTTTCCCTTTTAATTTCTTTGAATTCCTTTTTTGAACCAAACATATATTAGCTAGGAGTAAGTAAAGGATTTCAGTTATGTTTAACTGTAACCATATCTTATATTCAAATGAACTCCATGATCTTATACATTCTACATGTTCCCTAAAACAGTATTTGGTATCCCAACCTTCAATCACTTTGTGTGATTGAAATAAAAGTGACATTGCTGTAAGTCTGTAACGTGATTTGTGGCAGTGCTTGATGCAGACATGCAGTACTACGTTAGTTATAACGTCATTTCACAACATCTGTCTTTTGTACTGTCAAAACCACAACGTCGAAAAGTGTTGGGTTAACATTCTGAACATATTATGGAATTGGAAAAGAAATTTTGATTACAGTACTCTTCCCTTCCTTTCTAAGGAGCAAGACACACTTCAAAGAGTAAAATTAATTCCCTCTAATAATTGTTACTTTCAAAAGGTTGAAATTTTTAATTTTATATATATGTATATCATTTTATCGCATTACTCTTACTTTTCTCTTTAAAACCAAACCATTAATTAGCTAAGGTGTATACTAATCTGGTTGGGCTTTGTGGGTGTAATTTTTGAGCGAAAGCGACGTGATTCTTGTGTTTCCAATATATGCACACAATTGATGGGGGTATATTGAAAGATAGATTCTCATTTCTAAGATATAGTTGATGAAAGCATGACCTAATTGATTTCATGAGTAGGTAACAATATTCTGATTAAGCTACATTAGCAATAATATTATTCTAATGTGAAACTGGTGAAACTAGGTAGCTTCAAAACTTTAGTTGGATTTGGTCCAAGAATCTTTGCGGAGCTCAGGATCAGTCTGGTAGTACACAATGTCTCCAGAGTCGCTAACGAAGTGATCCTGACTTATGCTGTGAAGCAAGTACTTCACCAAATGGACTGGCACTGGCCCAGATTTCTGAGGCTCACGATAATACTTTCCAAGCACTGCTTTTGCTGAATTAGTCTATAGTAAAAGTAAATAAATAAATAAATAAAATGGGTCAATTTAGGATCATAGAAGAAGAAAATTAATTAATGTGTGAATTTTTAGAATGTGGGGTGTGAAATAGATGAGAAAATACCGCTTCTACCAAATGATAATGCGGAATTTGAGGGAAAAGGTGATGAATGACATGGGTGCCAATGTCATGGTGAATGTTGTTGATCCAACCGTAATCACGATCTATGGTTGTAAGACCACCTCTTAGATAACTCCATTCCTGTCAAATTACATGAAACAAAATATAATGTTTGACACACTTTTTATTAATTAAAATTATAAAATTATTGTGATTAATTAACTAAATAGATCAGCCAAACTAAAAAAAGATGTTAGAAAGAGTAAATTATCAATATTTCTTTCCTAAAGTGAAAAGGGTGTACGTTAGAAAGTAAAGTAAGATAATAAGTAATAACTATTAAAAAATTAACTGTTGAGGTTTTAATCATTAAAATATATAAAGTTGGTGAAAATAGTTAAAGGAGGAGAATAGGGTCATGACTCATGAGTTCGACGTTAAAGTAAGTAAAAACGTAGATCTAACTGCTTTCTTGATATTCGATTAATCTTGGACTTTTTAAAAATCTCTTAAAATTTAATTAAAAAATAAATTGTATCAAACATGCAATCCTTTGGACTCGGGTTAATTTTCGGTATTGAAGATAAAAAAAATGAGGTTGCACTAATGTTACCTTGCCACGGTACCACGGTAGTTTCTGACTGTAACCATGATGATGCAAGTACGTGACGAAGTCCAGCCACATGACGAAGATCTACACATGTTTGAAAAAGTGAATAAAAATTGGACATGTGTTCATAATTAATTGTGAAGAGTGTGTCAGAGTGAGATTACCAAATAGGGTACCCCATAGAGCTTGAACATAAAAATTGGACCCATTACGATTGATAGATAGACAAGAACACATAGCATGATGCTCCAACACAGAGTTGAAGTCGCCACATCTTTTCTCTCACCAGGGGAGAACAAGTTGCTGTAGGGGCTGAAGTGAGAACCTTCTTTTCCAGGGCTTCTACCCCACTGAAAGAAAGAAAAAAAAAATGGTTCATAGTTCATATAAAAAAATTTAATTGTGAATTGAATGTGCATAGAATGGTTCAAAATTCAAGGTGAGGTTATTACGTTAGATACTAGGAATAAAGAAATTGAGAGGAATGATTCTGTATATAGCAAAATAAAATAATGGTGTGATTCTGGAAAAAGAGGCTCTCACCAAATAAAAAGGGTATGCAAAGACGGGGAAAGGAACAGTGAATCTCAGCATTCTTGTCATGTTGTCTAGGCTCTTGTAAACCTTCTCTGTCAGCTGACATAAAGTCACAAAGACACAATCATGAACCCCCTCACATCTCTAGATTCCCCTTTCTCTTCAATTGGACCAACCAAATCTAACCACAGATTATTCAAATTAAAATTAAAAATGAAAAACAAAGCATACTCATACCGGAACCCATGATTCATCATTCTCCACATGTCCATGGTTTTGGTGGTGAGTCCTATGGCTAATCCTCCTTCAAAACCCGTGAATTATGAAATGGTTAGGGTGTTATCAAATCAGATTAATTAAAGATTCCACATTCCAAACAAGGATCACTTGAGAATTTACGCATAAACAATTAATTGTTACTTTGACCGATTCATATCTTAAAGATTGACCTGAATCTAAATATGTTTTTAATAAGCAAAATGAAGAAGAAAAAGTTGGGAAAAGAAACGAACCATCCATGGTATGGTACAAGAATTGAGGAATGCAAGATGTGGCCCACCAGGCTATTCAACTTGAGACTGTTTGAAAAACTTCCATGGCCACTGTTCAACAAATGCATGGAATTAATTAATTAGCATTGAACATATGAAAAAAAAAAAAAAAAAAAAAGAGTCATAATA